GAGCAAAAAATGATAGTAGCAAGCGACCTATACCATATTGTAGGCGAGTTAACGCGAGCGAAAAGGTGCCATAAAGTTACCCCATCTTGGGGTCATGAATTTGCTCCAAAAAATTTTTGGGGTCTCCTGGTACCCAATACTGAAACTCCCTGTGCTTAGATAGATCTCATATGCCTTAGGGCCGATTTTTAGAGGATTATTTACATTTTAAAAAAATATTTGTTATTTTATATATCGTTTATTCGACTTGTAGCTTTCAAATAAATTCTAGTTTCTTTCAATACTTACACATAAAATTAAATGTTTTCCAATTTTTTACAATAATATTGTACTAAAATAAGCTTTCATTATAAGTATGATAATTTTATTTCAACGCTTCTAAATTATTATCTTTTCATACAAATACAGAGTTCAACTTTTGAAAATAAGTCTTTGCATTGGTTAAATTGGCCAAAAGTCATTGAAATGTTTATCGAATAAAAAATTAAAACTTTTTAAGTTCAAATTCTATTTTCATATTTAATTTTAATTGTATTAAGTAATTTTAAAAAGTTATAATTTCCCTTCGAAGAACATTAAATACCATAATTTTATTGCAAAAACTCGCCCGCATGCTTCCCCTTCCTGCCGCAGGCTTCCCCCACTCCGACCGCGCGCGGCATGTGGGTGAGTTTTTACAATATTTGCGTGACTTTCGATCGAGTTAAAGTGTAAAGTATTGAGGCTTACACATTATAAAGAACACCTTCGAAACGATCATGTATAGTGGTTTTCATAATTTTTCCAGTATTAATGGAGATATGGTAAGAACGCAAAGTTGAATGTTAAAATTGCGTCCTCCCGGCGTTAATGGGTTAATCGAGGTTCTTTAGCAGAGTAAGGAATGAAAATCGAATGAAAATATGAGCCCAATTATTGTTGTAATCAAATGAATATTTATTTATAAAAATTTTAATTATGAAAATAATAATTAAAAATACAGAGAATCATCGTGAGCTGAATATATTATTTTATAAAAATACATTAGACGTTAGACTTAGGCAAACGGATGATGTCAAGTTCAGTGTATTTACAAAAATAATTCAATCTTATTCAAATAATTACTTTATGAATGTACAAATATACTGTAATAATACTGAACCTAAACGCAGATATGATTTAACATATTTAATATCAAAACTCTACCAAGCGTAATAATTCGTTGACTTGAATCTCTCGACACAATTGGAACATGTGGCAGTGGTACTTCCGATTTCTTCTCGATCAATTCTCTTGTAATTAATATCGTCATTAGTCCTGTTGAATTTTCTGGAAAATTTCTGAGCTCTCTGTGCTACCCAATCATTGATACCTACTAACATCTTCTTTACAATCGCCAAGAGCGATTGTTTTTTTGGCATAGCGGTATCAGCCGCATGTATAAAGTCAATGCGGAGCTCTTCAACAGCGACGTCTTCAGATTCATGCGTCGAAAGAAACGAATGTAGTACCTCTATATCAATTTTGTTGTTCACGATTTCTTTTTTACCATTTCTCTTGTAACTACTGTAATTAGTTCGACCTGTTTTTCTGGCAAATTCCTCGTCTTCCCGATCTATCAAAGCATTGAATGCCTTTTCATCTTCTATCATTTTTCTTATCTTCATCGAAGGCCACGGTTTATTCATTCTAGACGTATCAGGAACAATAGCATCACAGCCAGGGCAAGGGTCTTCAACGGTGACAATGTTGCGCTGTTTGCTTCTTTTGACAGACATTGTTATATCGTTTCTCGACACCTCTCTTTCTAAAAAAATGAAACGTGAAAATTATATTACAATGATTGCTCATATTTCGACGCTCACTAATTTACTACAAAGAAAAGTATTTCCTGTAAACTCAAAAATTGGTTCTTAATTTTGAATTCGAGAAGATGGACCATAGATAACTTTCACTTTTTATAATTTCGATGACTATGTAGAATTGAATTTTAAGGAAGTGATCAATCATTCGTTTTCTACGAATATCATTATTTGAACAGATGGTTGTATACGTGATTATAATGCTAGCACACATGCACGAAAAAAATAATGTCGATGGACAAACACGTGTTATTGGTCATGGTCAAAGTTATGAAAACTTGCACTGAACATAAGTTTCGTCAATTTTTAGAAAACCTGAAAACCACTTAAAAATTTTTATAAATTGAAGATCATAGTAACTGAATGACACCTCGGCCCACGTGTTAAGGTCACAATTATTTTTATAATAGAAGATAGACTCAAAGTGTTTCATTCGAAGTAAATTTTCCTCGCAAATTAGATAATAGTGGAAAATTTCAATTCATGTATAAAGTGAAAAGAGTGAAAAATAAATAAATAAATAGGTTCAGTTACTTACATTATTTTAACTCGAGGATGTACGATGATTAATATTTGAACAAGTCAAGTTAATCGAATCGATTTGAAGGAATACTTTACAAGTCTTGGCTTGTGAGTATGGAGTTGACTGCGGCTCTATATAAAACACAACTGATGGTCAAATGCCGAAAAATAAGCGTTTATAGCATACATGTAAAAGCTAACAAGCCGGGGGGAGCACTTGCGCTTTGCGACATGCGCAGTTCTATATACCTTTCATTGCAACGCATTGGGAAGAGAAATGTGGGCGGAGCTTCGCCGACCAATGAAGAGTGCGCACTGCTGCGTATACGGCTCTGCACTCTCATATTAGTTCTTCCGATAAGAGGGCATCCGGACGATTTTACTTCTCAATTCATAGTGGTAATTATGATTTTCTAAAGCTCGTATTCCAGCAAAATAGACAGTGTTTTTATATTTGGACAATATATATCTCTAGTGACGCACAATGTTTTAAAACAGTTTCACCGCGAGTCACTTTATTGTTCGAATATTCTTAGTGCGGGAAATTTTGCACTTATATCGTCACATATTATAGTGCTTTACAATGAAGAATTTTACGAAGAGTTCATTGGTCAAAATATTTTTACAATATACTCATCATTTACCTCAATATGCGTTAATAACGTGCGCTTAACTTATTAATGCTCTAGACTACTGAATTAACAAATTTCACCGCGTTATACTCTGCGATTTTTCCATGTTTTGGTTCTTAAAAAGTCTTAAGATATACATGATGCTTGTTTAAAAATGTATGATTGTTTAAACAAAAAAAAGCATAAAAATTTATGAAAACTTTGCATATAGAATTTTTCCGTTTTTTGTTTAAACAACATTAGAAATTATTTTCAGAAAAGAGTAATTTTAATGAACATATAAATATAGTACATAATCGTAGCAAACCTTATGATTGTGAGATTGGTCGTTAATCATTTGAACAAAAATGTAATCTTTTAAATTCAGTACACTTCTTCGAATGTCAGATTTTTCACAAATCATTTGTACGAAAACAACACTTCAAAACTCACGTAAACGCCGTACTTAATTTATAGTTTCAAACGATAAAATGTAAAAATCGTTTCGAAAAATATTCTACATTAGTATCCTAAAACTTTTCAAAGAATAATAAAATTTTATCACTGTTATTTATTTTTCTGATTTCATTTATCATCCAAGTATTATTGTTCTAGTATTGTTTCATCTAAAGATGAAAAAATATTATTTTCTAACTATCGTTCGACTTCGATCCACTGCATTCCGTATGTATAATTATTTGCGACACAAATTAGTAGGACATAAATAAATGTAAACTTATATTTATAAATGCAAATTCGTGTTATTATGAATTTTAAAACTAATGCTGAAATATGCATCGTACGCCTCATACCGAATTGCAACGATCAATTGCAAAATGTTCGTTGCGATGATGTGATCAGGCCATACATTTTTTTAACCCGTTTCGGGCCAAACGGACGAAATTTTAGTTATTTTTTCACTCGTTGTAAACTCTGTGAAAAAATTATGTGAGAAATGTCAGAATAGTCATAACCGACGTAAAATTTTATGAAATTTTCAAATCGGGCGTCAGAATTGTCAAAAAAGTTGATGTGTAAAAGTTATGAACAATTAAACAATAAAAAACACGATTTTTTTGAAAAAAAATTTGATTTGATCCGAATTTTCGAGTCGAAACAGACTTGCTCTATAAGTCTAACACATTTTTTTTTGCGTCCATGGGGCGTAGACTTAAAAGTCCAATAGTTACGATATCGAAATTCAACATTTTCTCTATAAAGTTTTTTTCCTAGGCGCTTGGTTGACATATTAAAAAATTGACTACGTTCATGTACGGTTTTTTTCTACGAAGCGCCATTTTCATGTCCGCCATGTTAAATTTCGATATCGTAACTATTGGACTTTTAAGTCTACGCCCCATGGACGCAAAAAAAGGTGTTAGACTTATAGAGCAAGTCTGTTTCGACTCGAAAATTCGGATCAAATCAAATTTTTTTTCAAAAAAATCGTGTTTTTTATTGTTTAATTATTCATAACTTTTACACATCAACTTTTTTGACAATTCTGACGCCAGATTCGAAAAGTTCATAAAATTTTACGTCAGTTATGACTCTTCTGACATTTCTCACATAATTTTTTCACAGAGTTTACAACGAGTGAAAAAATAACTAAAATTTCGTCCGTTTGGCCCGAAACGGGTTAAGAGACATCATTATATTAGTGAGTTCCAATTATTTTAAATCTCTGTGAAGACATTAGATTTTTTTCAGTGACAATATGGTTTTTTTTTATAATTCATATACAGTGAAGGCAAGCGAATGTTATATCAAAGTAATGTTTTTTTTTTTTTTTTTAATCAAAATTAGCTCTTTAATAATAATTTATACGGGTTTACATAAAATGAAAACCAAAATATACTAGCGACATAATAATTTTTACAGCTTATCATTACGTTATCATTATGAGAATAATTTCATGAATTCATGAAAAATTGAAATTGTTCGAGTTTATAAATTTTAATTTAAATGTTATGATTAATAAATGAAATATTCTAAATTCTCATAACTTTAAATGTACATATCCACATTTTATAATATTTAAAAAAAAATTTAATTCACAATAAACTATATGTCGTTAAGTTAATCAATGATGGTGTCACTATAAAAATTACTTGGGATGCTGACTTGTCAAATTACATTGCTTATAAAAACTGATCTTTTTTATTGTTGTATGGAATACGCGCGGGTATTCTATGCTTGATTGTGGTTTTGTTAGTCGTCCATTGTCGAAGAGACCACCGTCACATCTACATCATCGTAATAGTTACGACTCCTCCGATCCCGACGGTACATCCTTTCGTCTGTAAGAAAAAAAAAGACGGAATCGATCAGTCAATCGAACTTTCAATATTAAAAGGAAATCGCGGAAATTAAATATTTAGATTTTGGAAAGTGTATGACTCACTGCTTGCTTGCATCAGACATTGAAAATTTTGCAGGCTTGCCATAAGAGCCGCTCTAGACTGCGGTACATGTTGCATGATCGGTATACCCCCGTGTCCAGTTGGTATGCGCCCGTGAAGATCGTGTACATTTGGCTCAACAAACCCAGGATTGTATGCGGGATTTTGCATCGGCATATTCTCCTGTGCATGTGGTATGTGCCTTTGAATATCTTGTACACTTGGCGCAACAAACCTAGGATTATGTGCGGGATTTTGAATCAGAATATTCTCCTGCGCATGTAGTATGTGCCTTTGAATATCTTGTACACTTGGCGCAACAAACCTAGGATTATGTGCGGGATTTTGAATCATCATATTCTCCTGTGCATGTAGTATGTGCCTTTGAATATCTTGTACATTTGGCTCAACGAACCCAGGATTATACGCGGGATTTTGCATCGGCATATTCTCCTGTGCATGTAGTATGTATCTTTGAATATCTTGTACACTTGGCTCAACAAACCCAGGATTGTATGCGGGATTTTGCATCGATGCACCCTCCTGTCTATATCGCCTCTGCCCATGAGTATTTTGTATATTTGGCATAACAGCCCCAGAATGGCTTGCGCGGATTTGTATCGGTGTACCCTCCGGTCCAAATCGCATCAGTCCTTCAGAATTTTGTACATTTGGTATTACGAGCCCAGCATTGCTCGTGGGAATTTGTATCGGTACACGATCCTGTCCATATCGCATCTGCCCTTCGGTATTTCGTAGAGTTGGCACTGCAACCTCGGCATTGCTCGCAGGACTTTGTCTCGGTACATCCTCCTGTCTTCTTGTTTCCTCTGTTTTGATTGTAGCTTCTGTCTTGATTTCCGTCTTGATTTCCGTCTCGCCTTGTAACTTTTCTTTGGCCATGTTCGCCATGAGCACTTGAAAATTTCCTACCCAATCTCTACATGTCTCTTCGCTTTTTATGTCAGTCAGTAACGGCCACTTTTTGGATTCAGTCGGATCCATCTCGATTTGGATTATATTTCGAACTGTTTGATATAACGACTTGTAACGAAGGTGTAATATTCGTTGCTTTCCTATATTGTTGATCTGCGACGGTGTTGCCTGTCTGGAGTCGAGCCGTAGAGTGACAGCTGCGCAAACAGGGCCAGCAGAGAGGGAACCGAAAAGTACCCGTCGTTCGCGTCGAAATAATAAATGACGATCATTCGTAATAATATAATAAAAATAAAGATTCAATGAGGCCTTTTTCTGTCAGATGGGAAAGAGAGCAACTTTCATTATGCCTTTGTTATAGACGGTCTACTCATAACATTTACTCTTCCAAAGGAGCTTCGTTGACGCCAGCTAGTTGAGCCAGGCATTTAGCAGAGTTTCAATACTCGTCTCTCGTCTTGCATAATTTCCAAAATGAAGAGCAATGAATGCTAATTTTTCATCTTAAAACTTTTTGGGTCACTCTTTTGGGCATCTGAATTTTAAAAATTTTACATGCGTCGTTATTTAAAAGTTATTGAACCTAAGGACGATAAAACTGAACTTCGTACATAAACTTGGCGCTTGTTTTCACTGATTGCTTTTTCCTACCATAGAACAGTGATTGTTCGATCTACTGTAAACTGGGAGAATGGCGCAGACTCGTATAGTTTAGTGGTTCTTAATTCTCTTGGGTCACCGATAAGCCACTCAAGGTAGCGATATTTACTATTATTTTTTATCTTTTTACTAGTTTAATAAACATTGTTTCCTTCTCTTCGTGACATAATTATTACAGATACTTATCGAGCAATGAAATAAATTGGGTAAATTCTTGAAAACATTTGAAATATTTATGTGAATATTTATGGCCGGAAAAGTCGGGGCGAAAAACATAAATTGCAAGCTCTCAATTTGCTCAGATGAAATAAAAAGCATCAATAATGATATCATATCTTTGACAAGTTGTTTTATAACTTGCACGTCATTTAATAATGTACAAGAAGGTGATAACTCTTTTAATACACCATTGTAGGAGGCGTGTACTTATGTCGAAAAAAAGCAATGTAGCGCCGATTGTCTGCATAAAAAACGACTTTTTTTCTCCGATTTTTTTTAGCACAAAAGGCAACAGCATCTTTATCTTTATGAAAACTTATTTTTTAATTTTGAATAAAGTATTCATGGTAAAAAAATACGCCTTTGGTTTATTTAGTTATGATATTTTTGAAATGTTTTATACTGACGCAAATTGTACAAAAGGACTTGACACGAAATGTTATGCTCGATGTGGCTGATTTTAAACACCTCTGTTGAATCCTGTAAATTAAATGACATGAAAATTATATGTTTAATATTCAAATTTTTATTCTTGCTGCATAATTATTTTTCTATAAAACTCTTTTTACATCAGAAAATATGTCTCTAGGACCACCTAAGTGAAGCATATTTTTGATTAAATTATTTATTTAATCTATCAATCTCAAAAGCTAGACTTTACTTTAAATTTTATTCCACAAGAACGGAAGAGAAAATTGCAACAAAAATGGTAAGATTTGAAGGATCAAGTCAAGTTGGTTAAAAATTTCATTTGAAATAACTTGAAATCACAAGTCATTATAGATTAATCCTGGACTAATTTAAATACTTAAAGGTACTAGAAATACATTTTGCGATTTAAAAAAACTTGTAAAAAAACTATTTTCCATCCAAAACAAAAAATTGTCAATATTAAAATGTAGTTTTCACGTTTTTTTTACTTTACATGATTTAACACAGGTTTTTTCCATTGAGAATCTCAATTCTCGATATGCACAGCAAGCAGACAGCAGAGTGCAGACTCAAAGTAGTCGCAGTCGTAGATGGAGTTAGCAGACAGTCGAGCGAGAGATTATATCTCATCTGCAATATCGTCGAGTATCATCAGTCGATCAGTCAGATCGTATACACTGCTAATATAAATTAAATAATACCTCACGCCGGGCGGTAAATCGGTACCTGCAGATCCGCAACTAAAGCAGACGCTATAATTTCACGTTGGAACAACCTGCTTGAGTACAACCTTTTCGGCAAGAAACTTTATTAAAGAAGAAGTCTAACGTCAATCGTTAGCTCGACGCTAATTTGATTGAATAATGCATCGATGAATTATTTATCCGTTTCATTTGTGATAGATCAATACTTAACAGGGTTAATCAACTTCTTATTCAGGTGTAAGTTACACTTATACTTGATTCTCTCATCTTTGGCTTTCTATTTAATATGAACTTTTCTATTAGTTTTATTATTGATTTTATACGAATTTAAACATGATTTAAAAACTTTCTTTATAAATATACTTAAATCAATATCAATAAAAATATCATTCTAGTCTAACTATAAAATTTAATGTTGTCAATGTGTACACTTTTAACTTGAATTAATGTAGAAATTACAACTAAAATAACATTATTTCATTAAAATATATTTACTAGAACTGAACAAAAATCATAATTTCAGATAAATAATTTTGGTGCTTAAACCAAAATAAAATGGCACCCAAATTACGCCAACGAGTTTCATTGCCTACAAAAGAAGAAACTCCAGCAAAGAAGCGCAATGAGCAAAATAGTTTTAAAACTTCAGAGAAAAGTAAAAATGACTCCAAGCCTTCATCAAGTACTACTGATCATTCATCAGATACTGCATTTAGGTTGCTAATAGCAGCTCGATTGATAGCTGCAATTACCAGCTACATAAGTGATTGTGATGAAACTTACAACTACTGGGAGCCTGGACATTATCTTTTATATGGAACAGGTCAACAAACGTGGGAGTATAGTCCACAGTATGCACTCAGATCGTACGCTTATCTTCTTATTCATATGGTACCAGCAAAACTTTACTGGTACATTTTAAGTTTTTTTCATGCTGAACCAAATCCTATGCATATTTTTTATTTTGTGAGATGCGTTCTTTCATTTGTTTGTACAATTTCTGAAGTATATTTATACAGAAATATTGGCAAAGAGTTTGGAATTCATGTTGCAAGAATTGCATTAGGATTCTCTTTGCTTAGCAGTGGAATGTATATTTCCAGTGCTGCTTTTCTACCTTCATCGTTTTCAATGTGTTTCAGTACAGCAGCTATCGCTGCCTGGTTTGGTCATAAATATGAACTAGCTATATTTTACACTGCTATATCCTCTTTACTTGGTTGGCCTTTTGCTGCATTGCTTGGAGTTCCAATTGCTGTTGATATGTTATTTAGAAAAAGGAACTGGTTAACTTTTTTCTCTTGGGTGATTATTTCAGCCATTGTAATTCTGGGACCTATGATTTTCATAGATTCAATGTACTATGGAAAATTAACAATTGCTCCGTTAAATCTTATCATGTACAATGTTTTCACAGATCATGGGCCTGATTTATATGGTACTGAACCTTTTAGCTACTACTTTATGAATGGTTTTCTGAATTTCAACTTTGTTTTTGGTTGGGCAATGCTCACACCAGCATTAATAATTTTAGCTCACTATTTTCTGCCGTTGGAAATGAGACATCCTGCCCAATTACCATTTTGGCTCTCATTGGCTCCATTATATTTATGGTTTTTAGTCTTCTTCTTTCAACCTCATAAAGAAGAAAGATTTTTATTCCCTGTGTATCCCTTAATATGTCTTCATGGGGCTATTACAATTGATGTAGTACAAAAGCTTTATTTTCATGCAAAAAGCAAAGCATTTAATTATGCAGTATCAATAACAAACAATTATGTAAAGTGTACCAAGTATGTTATGATCTTTGCTATTATAATCTGTGGATGTTTTGGTTTATCTCGTACTTATGCATTGTACAATGGGTATCATGCCCCAATGGATATTATGGCTGAAGTAAACAAATTAGGAATGAGTCAAAACATACCAAAAGATATGGAAATCAATTTTTGTGTTGGTAAAGAATGGCATCGATTTCCAAGTAGTTTCTTTTTTCCATCTAATAATTGGAAATTGCGATATATCAAGTCTGAGTTCAAAGGTCAGCTTCCTCAAGCATATGCACAACATGAAAATGCTACTAGCATGATTCAGCCACACTTCAATGATAAAAATGAGGAAGAACGATCTAGGTACTTTGACGTTGAAAAATGCCACTTTATGATGGATTTAGATGTAGGAAGAATTACTAAATTAGAACCTAACTATTCGCATAAAAAAGGTAGATTTAGAATTTTAAAGTCTGTTAAATTTTTGGATAACTTGAAATCCGATCCTGTCTACAGAGCATTTTACATTCCATACATGACTGAAGAAAATGTTGCTTACGGTTCTTATAACTTGTTGCAAAACAACAAGTACAAGTTTTCAGAAAAAAAAATTTAAATCATTAATCATTCGCCAGCGTGTTGAGAATTAATGAAAAAGAAAAATAATTATAATAATAGTCACATAATTGCGTTTGAGATTAAAGCGTTTGCTTTATGTACTTATTTTGTAAGTATCTGAACCAAGTAGTTGATAACTTTTTTAAAGTCTGATTTCTTCTTTTTACTGTTTATGGAGATGTAACAGACTGGAATGTAATTAAGTATTATACTTATTTATGAATAGAGTGGTCTAAAATTATTTACTTGTACATTAGTATAAATGTCCCTATTTTTATATAGTTCTTATTGAGTTCGTGATATACATATGTAATATCTATAACGTTTATCAGCGCAACAGAATATTGTTAAATATGTTACAAGCAACTAAAAGACTTTGAAGATGAACTGATTTTTTTTATAATTTAAAAATGATTTGAAATCAACCAATTGATATCTACAACTATCTCAATATTCCATTTATTAATTAGCTTTGAAATATTTTAATTACACATTTTATTTATTTATTTATAATTATAACATATATCCCGAATACGTAGTACTCCGAAAAATAAACGATAAAAGCTTCTAACGAGTATCAGTAATTTCATTATTTCAATATTCATCATCCTTTTAATCACACTTTTTGAAAATGAATAAATTTTTCAGATATTAAAACTCTTTCCGTCGTTACGCGCGTGTAGTTACATCCTCGAAATTTGAATAACGCAAAAACGAATCTCGTAGCGTAGCGTACCGAGAGAAATTACGTCACGGTTTGTTAAGCAGCGCGTCACTTGCGGCGCACAGACGGCCCACACACACACACAGTCAAATCCTACACATTTATACATCCCCCCTTCCAACGAGTCGAATGTGCATCCCCTTGGCCGCTTGGCTGCTTGCTGACAGCTTAGCCTGGGTGGTTGGTGGTTCGGTCGGTGGCGCCTCGTCGTACACACACACACACACACACACACACACACACACACATACACATCGACCTTATACAGAAGCGTGTGTAGTAGTAGTATACGTCTGGTAGTAGTATAGTACACCGATAAAAATCAATGTGATTCGTACATGTATGTATACGTGCGTAAAGTCCTCTCTCTCTCTCTCTCTCTCTCTCTACGTCCAACGCGCGCCAGACTTACTCCTCCTCGCGCTTTGTAACGCCACAGGGGAGACTGACGATTTCGCGTGTGGACCTCTATTTGGTGCTGTACGCAAGGTGTGCATCGCTCGTGTGTGAGACTGCATAATATACAGTGCATCGGCATCGTGGATTGTCAGTGCGAAAAAAGAAAAATTCAAAGATATTGCTCGAGTAAGTTTTTTCACTCGCTTACGCGACGACGACGACGACGACGACGACGAGGGGGAGAAATTTTTTTGCTTTTCTAAAAATACACAGCGTCTCTCTATCGGCGCTTCAAAAATGAAAACAGAGCGCGATGCCGTGATAACTTTCTCGCGTCTATAATGTATAAGTTGCTTCGCTGCTGCTGTTTAGCTGCTGGTGCGTCGTTGTACAGACCCGAGCTTGCTCCAATTCGAGGAGATTAAATCATTCAATTGTGCATGCCTGTCTATGACGCGCGACTGCATGTGTAGCTCGTATACGTACTATAAAGCACATACTTAAGCTGCATAGATATACATATAAGGGACTGCAGCAGTGCAGTGCAGTGCAGTGCAGTAAGAGCAGCAGCAGCAGTAGCAGAAGAGGAAAGAGAGGAGAGAGTGACGTTGTCTCGCGCGTTGTTTTCGTCGTTGCTGTTGTTATTATGGCTCATCTCTTGGTTTTTCCTTTTTAATGTATGCAGGCAATTGCAACGCGACGATGGCCATGGCTCGACTCTTGTGATCGAAGCTCGAGATTATATATCAAAGTTCGAACGCGAAAAACGAGTGCGGGTGTGGTGTTGGCATTAGTACAAAACACCCTGCGATAGTAATATCTACTAAGTTTACTTGGGTAAGTTTAGAAGTTTTTTTCCTCTGTTTTCTTTTTTTTTTTTTTTTTTCGAGACGAGAATTGCGATATCACCCTCGCAGGGCAGCTCGAATTCACATTGCATGTAACGTGTGCGATAAGAGAGGGTGGCATGGTGAGAGTGTCATATATTGGCGTGACTCATTTCGCTTGTTTTGAGATCGCTTACAATATATTCATTGCGCGCAGACGGCGATATATATCTTGTGTGACATTGATTATAGGATGACTTTTTACCAAGTGCTCGTCGTCTGAAACTTGAACCTTGCACTGCGGTTGAGCGTGTGCTTGATTGACTTTTTTGTGTACACACGTTTGTTGCAGTGCGAGGCGTGAATGAAAATTTTTTATTAATTATTGTCGCGTCGCAATTGAATCACTTGCGAATTGCGTTAAATTACAGCTCGTTTCGACTAGTAAAAACACACGACTGTCAAAACTGGATAACTCCGTGATGAAGGACATGGCAAATAAGATCGCCGAATTGAAGTTCGAAGCACCACTGGCGTGTTTCGAGGAGGAAGAGTCGTCGACCATAAGAAATATTAATTTATTTTCAGGTAAGATTTGACGCGCGAATGTATTGATTTTAGATAAGAAAAATAATAATCCGTCGATGTTATTTTGCAGATCGATTGTTGGACGTCAATAACATGGAACGAGATTATGTCAACAATCAAAATACCAACAACACAACGATTTCGAACGAAACTTGCTTGGATGTCATTCAGGATGGAACTTTTAGTCCTTTCAGTGGCAGTTTAGAAGATTTGGTTAACACGTTTGATGAAAAAATCACAACTTGTTTTAGAGATTATGGTACAAATGTTGAGTCTCTTGCTCCTGTTCAAGTTAGAACGCAGGAAGAAATTATGAACGAATGCCAGTAAGTGCATTGTTTCATTTGACAATACGTTGAACCAATTATCAGTGCTTGTTTAAACATGATTTTCATCTTTAGAATGTGGTGGACACTGACTGGCACATTTGGAAATATTTTACCAATAGACTGGAGCAAATCTTATGCTCGAAAAATGCATCTGCCATCTCTGAATTTAAATGAATCAGCAGAGTCTTCAAATGGGTAAAATATAAAATGAAAATTATGCAACACATAATTTATTTCCAAGTTTAATAAAGTAGTCAACTGTTTTATTTCTTGACAGTACTGGAGTGGAAGACTTGAGCAGCGAAGATGAAGCTGTTGCTACAGATTTGGACATGCATGCTTTAATTTTATCTAGTCCTACTGATAATTGTAATATGGAAGAGCCTGTTAAAACTGCCGATGAAGTTTTAAAAGAAATTGATGATATAATGCAGGAGAGCCCAATGTCAGATGCTTCAATGGCTTCAGAATCATTACTTGAAATAAATGAAGCACTTGAGAGAAGTAAAGAGGTTCTTTCTTCACCGCTTCATGAAAAAAGTAAGATCATAATAGCTGATAAGATATGATTATCTCTATTTTCAAATATTTAATTCAATAATTATTAATTTACAGGATTACAGGAATACACTTCTAAGCAATTATCAGAACTTCTGAGCGAAATGGACTCTTTGATAGCTGCATTAAGTGAAACTCTCATAAATGAGCTTGCTCTCAGAGACGAATTAGAATATGAGAAAGAACTAAAGAACCAATTCATTTCTTTATTACTCGCAGTACAAAATCGACGGAGACAGCATCATGTTGCCAAAAAACGAAATCAAATATTAAATGCAACTAGTCCCCAAACTCAGCGTAAATCAGTTGAATCGAAGGTATTTAATGATCATGTTTGGTCCTCATCATCTCATCAAATTCTTTTTATTAAAAATTAAATAAATTTTCAGTATTTAACCACAGTCATACCGTACCACTCATCCAGTGGCGTTTTGGATAACCAGTCACTGCAAGTTCTAATTAAAAGTGAGTATCCATAAAAGATGAATGAGGAGATACCTTTGAAAAACTAGAAATATTATGATATTTTTTTTATTTTAGTTTTAAAAGCTATCAATGAAGACAGCCCCGCAGTTCCTGCTCTCTTAACGGATTACATTCTCAAAGGTGACGACGCGTTTTTTCAATCATATTGAATTTCCAAATATTAACTCGTGTTTTCATTTTTTACAGTTCTATGCCCAACTTAGAGGATACCTAGTGTCATTCCCATTACGCATACGCTAAAATATCAATGTAATTTCCACTGATATTATTTATATAACTTTTGCTTATGCATATTATATCGGAACTTTTTGATTGCGAGTCACACTGACGTATATAATCTGCGCGCACAATCACACGCATTCGAAATTATTAAAGCAGATCGCTAAAAAAAAATATTTATAAATTATGTTATCGATTTCTATAAAATTATTGGCGTTTATTGAATTAGTAACGAACGTTATTGATTGTTTATGATCTATAATAATATAGTTCATTATATGTCTAGTCTTTTTTAATCTTTCAAGCGTTAAAAAAAAAATTAACCAACTTCGTGCTGGGTTGGAAGTTAGTTAATTGTATCATCGCGTGACCTCTTTACAAATGTTCCTAAACATTTAATGTTTATTATTACATTACGATTACCTGTCGACATTAGTCTTAGATAATTTTTGAATCATGAAAAGAAAACACGTTGCGTTTAAGTATTATATTGAATTAAAATTTGAGTTACGGAAGTCTCGTCTCGCCGGATATAAGCGTACTGTTATTTATGCGTTTTTTTTACGAGCGACCGAACGATCTCAAATACTAATCGTGCGCATATCGATTTACTCTCTTCGAATACGGACAATCAGGCTATTATCGCAGACACACGAACGGCCTAGTATGCGTCCTCATTACCATTTCTCGCTTATACGACTTCATAAAAATGCATCGTGCGATTCTTTAAGTTGGTCTCTCGTCGATTGACAATTTCCTCCGTGTGCCATGACGTGTGCATACATAAATGTGATTGGATATAAATTTGTAACTCATAAGCAACTCGATGCTTTCAACGTTAAATCGCGATCGTTCCAAAACCAAATATATTTTAATTATGGACTGCTATCGAAGACTTATACTTTCCTTAAGACTTCAATTACTATTAAATGACTTTTGTTCGTTAACATTGAAACATGATTTTTACCGTGAAAGAAATTATGAACTGTCGATTTGTAAAGAGGTTGACATAGTGAAGCGAAAAAAGTATTTTATCACTCGTGTCCATGACATGTATAGGTAGAAAGTAGATAATGTAAAAATTATAGAAAACTATCTACCGCGTCATTGTATTGCTAGAAAAAAAATCTATCCGAACTTTTCTTTAGCATGTAACGTGTAAACTATATAATACGAAGAAGATCGGAGTATACGGACATCCCCGATCTCGAAAGAAATTTTATTTACCTGCAGCGTGCAATTTGATTTCATTGGAACAAGTATCGATAGTCCTTAGATGATAAGTTTATTCAAGTGAGCTATTCTAGAACATTATATCATTAAACCATTTGCTTGGATTTTAACCATGTGATTTTTTATGTATGAACAAAAAAAAATATCGCAATGCATTCGTGACAATTTATACATAAAATAGTATTATTATACCGCGTGCGTTTCGATGCGCGACTCCGTGTACGATAAAACAACTTGTTGCATTGTTTTTATCGAACATGCGAAACAATTTGCTTTTTTTCAATTGCGTTAACTCTTCGATTGACTGTATATGATCTGATAATACTTGTAATTTACTTTTAAATCGATGTATAAAAAAAACGATTATACAAGAGCGTTCAAATAAAGCCATACATAAATATACATATGGCGAAGTTCAGGGTCGTAATTGAATGTAAAAATAATCCTTACGCATCTCTTCCTTTCGATAATCGTGTTATTTTCTCTTTATTCACAACGAACTTATATAATTTGTTTATAATAATACTTTATAAAAGAGCGCAACTAAAATTCAAGCGAGAAAGCTCTCGTTTTTGCTGGCCTTCTCGGCGGCGTTATTGGACAGAGGATCCAAGTCCTCGAACAAGTTCATCCAGGACTTGGCGCTTGTACCTTTTTTCGCTTTAGCTGCTGCTACCTACAAACACGAGACAACGCATCGATAAATTGATTATTGGTCATCCTATAAAAAAAAGAGAAGTAATGGCGTTGTAAAACTCACATCTCCTTTGCTATCACCGAGCAGATCTTTGCCTTGACTCTTGGCCGCATCGGGCGAGGACGAGGACGTGGTGGCGCTCTTCAAACTCTGCTTCAGCAGCTCCATCGGCATGAAGCTGTCCTTGTCGTCGGTGAGCCAATCGAATTTCGATCCGTCGTCGCTGGCGGTGTTGCTCTGTTGCTGCTGCTGCTGCTGCTGCATGTCCTGCAGTATGCTCTTGCACTCGGACATGAGGGCCTGCTGCAGCTCGTCGTAGTAGACAGGATTCGCCGCTGTGGCGGTTGCGTTGACGTTCAGACCCTGGAGATCGCCGATGGAGGACGAAGCACCGGCGGTAGCGTCGTCGCTCGTACTCGGCACGCTTTCTTCGACGGCGATCAACCGATCCGTTTGAATGGTATTTTCCGGCGCGGACGTTAGATCGCCGATCAGCGACGAGGAACCGTTCTCCGACTGTGGCTGACTGAGATTTGAATTCAGTATTTATGCTTACTCGATTACATGGATAAAGTTTAAGTGAAAAAAGGGGGCTTACTCTTCGCTCGTCGTCGGCGTCTTGGCTTTTGCTTTCTCCTTGCTCTTGTCGCCGTTGCTTTTAGCGGCACCCCGCGTCCGATCCGTGACGAGTTTCTCGATCCTCCTCCACTCGCTGTCGGCCTGCCTGCTCCTTATGTTCTCGATGTTCTTCAGCGTGGTCGAGTACGCCTTGGCCGACTTGCTCCCGTAGGCTATGTACCTGTTCTGATAGAACGTCAGCGTGTGATTGAGCATGTTGCATCTCGCGGCGGCCAGCAGATCGACCTTCTGCAGACAGTCCAGGCCGAGCTTGTCGAAGTTGAGCTTGCCGCGGCGCACCTGGTCCTGGACGCGCTTGAACTTGTCGAGCTGCTTGCTCGAGGCCGGGTCGAGCTGCTGGGACACGGCCTTCATCCAGGACAGGCTGGCGCGATACTCGGTGCGCGCCTTCTCCATGGCGAGGACGTTCTGGTGGGTGTCGCCGATGGCCCGCTGGCGGAACGTCTCGAGCTCCTGGTGGAAGCGCACGAGGGGCTCGTGAAGGGTCAGCTGCTGCTGGGCGCAATAGATCAGCGCCTTGGCTACGGCGAGCATCACCTCGCCGGCCCGACTCTTGTCGTCGGCGCTGTTCTCCTTGAGGAAGCGGCCCATGGCGCTCGTCTCTTGCGACAGATCTGTCGAATATTTGTTGTTGTTGTTGTTGGTGATGATTTTTTTATCGATATCGTTCGCGCGCGCTATATACAATGTAGAAAGCTTACAACATATGGCCTCTTGATATCTGTCGATGATCCGCTGGAGCAGGGCGCAGGACGACTGTATGTTCCGGAAGAGCTCGAGCTTGGCGTCGAGCTCGGCGTCCGAGGCGACGATGCACTCGTCCTCCTTGCGGCCGAATTTGCGCGACAGGGCCTGCTTCGTCAGCCAGAACTGGTGCTGCATCTTCGAGGATTGGCTCTTCCAGATGTCCTGCATCATTTTCAATTTTATTTATTCAATGTGGTAAAGAATCGTATACGCGAATTTTACGAGTCGCAGGAAAAATTGCATCGATGTATAAACAACTCTACATGTTGACCGGGCCCGCGCCGATAACAAAAAAAAAAGCTTGGTGAGCTTCGTACGGTATAATACAACGTGTCAACGTACTACGCCCGGATGTGATAAGAAATAACGATGCCTATCAACGTGTGCCATACTTTTTTTGGTCGAATAGGCAGGAAGAAAGAAAAAATAAGTAAAGTTTTAATTATATTAAATAAATCATTCACACGGTTACCAAATTGTATTACCTCTAAAATTGGCAATTCCATCGCTAAGTTGTATCGAGTAAATAAAAAGCTTGGAAGCTATAATGACAGCTCGATCGTTAGAACGATGGGAAAATCAACAAACAACAACAACAAAAATACGACAAACAATCGCATCGATATAATGACGTGTATTATACAGTATTCTTACCCTCGACGAAACAATAACCCCTTCTTCAACAACGAGTAGCTCGGTGGTGTATCCTTGAAAAAAAAAAAAAAAAAAAAAA